GAGTAACCTCAAGTCGTTGAAGTTACAACCGGGAACCGATTCCCTCATCCATCATCAATAGTGAAGGAGTTCAAGAAATTCGGTAAATATTTTTACTAGTATTTACTTTATAGTAACAAATCAAAATTTGTATATGATGCATGTTTTAAAGATGACGATCAGTTAATTCGCAATTAGTATGTACGGGTGTTGTATTTATACGATAAATACTTACTTTAAAAATTTTAAATTCCGCTGCGTACAGCCCGTACTGTACTATCGAACCCAACAATAATACCCTATGTTTAAAATATAATATCATTATCTAACTTATAATTTTAATATTATATGCATACAAATAACTTATAATACTTCATTTACATCTGTGTAAATGCACAGGATCGAATACTAGTTTGTTGTAAAAATAAAAGAGAAATGATTGGAATGATATGAAGTTAAAATTATACTGAATTAATGATGATGCAATCAATAAGGATTATTGATGATATTATTTAATGATAATACTAATATTGAGGATAGTGGAGTTAGTTAGGTTATATTTGAGTTATAAATAAATTTTGTTTGTGTATATTTGTAAACAAATACACTCTTAATTTTTATTAAGCTCTATTGAATATTTTAAAATTAAAAACTATTTTACTAACTTAAATTATATATATATATACACGTGTGTGTGTGGATTATGTGTTTTACAAATTGATGTGTTAATTATAATACTCTATAATTATGTGTCAAATTACAGTGCATGTTCCATATAAATCTACACTTTTATCCTAGGGTATTCGAAATTTTATTATTCATGTGACTCAACGCTATGAAGCCAATTGTTAGCTCTATTATAGAGTCAACCTTAACAGTGATATAATAAGTTTATGGGGGTGTATACAGAAGGTTGGCTCCAAACTGATGACTTCATAGCAAAACCTCGCCGGTTTATGCTATGCACAGAGGACTTAGATGCAGGTTTATGCTTAGCTGTTCGAGTATGAAATGAAAAGCTCTGAGAGCATTGAGAACACTGACCTCAATCACCACTGTTGAATCTTCCAGCCTGCAAAAACCCCTCTCAAATTCTTCTCATTTCCACCGATTCTACTCGGCCCAGGCTCAGCATTACGATGGCCCCTCGCCGCCAAACCCCGAGGAATACGCCGCCGAACAGGATGCTGCTGTTTTTGATAGCTTCCATTTTGCTGATTTGAATCTCGATCCGGAGGGCGGAGATAATACGGATAGCAGTGGTGAGAAGCAGACGTGGGACGAGAAGTACAGGGACAGAGTGAAAAGCAAAGTGTTTGGGGAAGATGTTTCGCATTCGAGAATTTTGAGGAGAGAAGAGGAGAAGAAGAAGAAGAAGGCAGGGACCCTCGCTCGGGCGCTGTTAGAAGCGGCTTTAGATGAAGATGATAATGAGGATGCGGAGGAGAGGGAGGTGAAGGAGGAGGATCAGAAGTCTTTGTCTGTCGGAATTATTGGGGCTCCTAATGCCGGAAAATCAGCCCTCACTAATTGCATGGTTTGTTTACTTTTTGTCCTCTCTTTCTTTAGACATTGTAGTGCTAAAAGACCTGGAGCTTGTACTTAATTTTAATTTCTTCTCCTGGTATTAGGTTGGGACTAAAGTTTCAGCTGTTTCGCGGAAGATCAATACCACCACGCACGAAGTGTTGGGAGTTTTCACTAAAGGAGACACACAAATTGTATGTTCTCATTGCATGATTCTTTCTGGAATCTAATTAGAACTGTTTGCAGTGGCTATTTATGTGTCTCTCGATGAATTGAATTTGTTGCGTAGTCACTTTTTTGTGATGTTATTAGCATATTTAATTCATCCAACACGTGAGCAGGGCAATGACGTGAATGTTTTTGTAGAGAGCCTATACATTCCAGCCTAATTTGTGAACAAAACAGGCGCTTTGATAACTTGAAGCATCTCCTTTTCTCATGAAACATGTATATTTTGAGTGAGTTCAGAGGATGTGGGACATGTTATGGGGCCTGGAGCACATGAATCTCAAACATGATTTTTATGTTCCAAGGTCGAAAATTCTGCTGTATATTTTTGTATTGTATTGGGTAATTTTGTTAGGAAATTGAATTCCCATACTTCTACTCTTAAGATGGATATAACTGTATGCAAATAAATAATGTAACCTATTAGCATGATTTCTGACAGAAAGTTCACCTCTTATTTTATCCACAATTACATGTTTTTGTTGGTTACAAAGAGTGTTTTTATTTAATTTGGTATTCCACATACACGAGAGTCTAGAATTTAGCAACAAGTTAGTCTTTGGAAATATAACAAACAAATTATATACTAATGCATTATAAAGGGCTAGCTGAATGGATGCACCTACTGAATACACAGTCGTGGTACCTATTCTGCACAGAGAAGGGAGGGCAACTGTGCAAGATGGCTGCATGTCTGAGATATCAAATGTGGATAAGTATTCGATTTTACTTGTGAAACATGCTGGGAGTATGTATGTAGGGCAATAAAAGGATGCACCACACATGATGCTGGGATTTAGAGGTGATATGGGCAGGAGTATTCTCCTCTTTTGGGCTTTTGGAGTTAAGTTCAATAGTTAATGAGCATTCAGGTTGATTGGGATTAGAGGCCTCTCACCTCTGCCATTCTCGTATCTGCCCCATGTTTTTGGGAAGGAACATGTTTGCATTTGCTATTATGCGAAGAAGTTTATTTGTTTTGCGGAATATATCTGACAAAGTTAACCTCCATGCAGTGCATCTTTGATACGCCTGGGCTTATGTTAAAGAAAAGTGGATTTCCTTATAACGATATAAAAGTTCGCAATGAAAGTGCATGGAGTTCCGTTAGCTTGTATGATGTGCTGATCGTCATATTTGACATCCACAGACATATTACTAGGTACCAGTTTCCATTTTCTAAGTTAAATCTTACAGCTCTGTTGTGTGCTCATATTAGTTTTTGATGCACACGGCCTTTTATCTGGTCAGATTTTCCCTACACTAAATCTCTAGTCTTTCTATACTTCAAGTATCACCTGTATCATGTATTCTAGAAACTGATGTGCTTTTACAAACCTTGTTTCTCATAATGCCACAGAGCATTGATTTCTGGGTATAAACACTAAAAGAATCACACCCACAAAGTTAGTTTAGGCACTGTCAATATTGGCTGATTTTTTGAAAACCAATTCCTTAAGTTTGATTGAAGGAACCAATTCAACACTTCATATAAGTGTCAATTCATCAGACTGCTACTTTGCTAATTAATTGTTCACTGAGATCAAACTTCTTTGTATCATTGTGTTCTGAGAATGATACTGCATACATGGTGTGCTGTGGATCAAGTGTCACATTTTTTTTCTGTTGCAGTTAGATATCTACTACACATTTATTTTAAAATTTTCATTAACCTAGACCGGATTCGCGGGTGGTGAGATTGATAGAAAGAATGGGTTCAATTAGCAACACAAGCCAGAAGCGTGTGCTATGCATGAATAAAGTTGGCATGGTCACAAACAAGAAAGATCTGCTCAAGGTTGTAGAAGAATTCAGAGACCTTCCTGGATATGAAAGGTATGTTATTCATGTTCTCTCTCCTCTTTAATATGGTGCCTGATATCGGTGTGTATATGTTCTTCATGATCTCAGGACTGAAGGGTGCTGGGATCAAAGATCTCACTCAGTATTTAATTGAGCAGGTATGGTTGAACAGTCCACACAGGTCCATCTTATTCGGTATCTTTGACTGCTCTTTTGCTGTTTGTTACTGCTGCTTAATCTGGCACAAATCCCGTTATGTCTTCAAGTTAATTATTATTGGACCCAGAAGCTTCGCGATACATGTTCATAAATTTCTAGTGCTTATAACAATTTGAGAGAATATCTAGTGAAAGGATTTTGGAGGCATATTCTCTTGGTTGCTATCTCAAAATGTTTCCCTTTTGTTTCACATAAATTAAGATTTCACTGTATTTAAATGTGTTTGCTCACGGCATAGCTAATTTTACTCTGCATATTGTGGGCAATGGGGATATTGAACCCTCAAGGGTCCAAAGCTACTTTTCTAATCTTTTGTATGCATAGGCAGTCAAAAGACTGTGGGACGAAGATCCATTTTCCACGAGTGAAGAAGTTATGAAGAACATATCGTTAGAAGTTGTGAGAGAAAAATTGTTGGACTACGTGCATCAAGTAATTTTTTGGTTTCTAAATGTTTAATAGCAATAAGTTGGACTAGTAACATTGAGATGATTATTTTTTTTTTTTTTCTAAATGTAGGAAATACCATATGGCATCGAACATCGCTTGATGGGCTGGAAAGAGTTGAGAGATGGCTCTCTCCGGATTGAGCAACATTATATTTCATCACTCCCAAAGTCAGCCAACGGAAAATTTTAGTAGGGAAGAAGGGCTCCAAAATAGGTTTCGTATATTTGTCTTTTTTTTCTCTCAAGTATAAGGAATAAGATCAATATGTATCTTAGTCCCAGTATGTCACATTGTAGGAGGATAGGTTTGGAAGCTAATGAGGAGCTACATTCCATATTTAAGAGGGACGTTCATCTCATCCTCATCGTTAGAGTCAAATAACTCTGCACATGAATCACTTCAAACTTCTAATGTGTACAGAATTGGTCTCACATACCATACTACACATTAGAACGATCACTCAGCTTCTCAAGAGTCATAGCCATTTCAATAGTTGAGTGATTCTCTTTTTGGCATCATAAGGGACTGATATGCTTTATGTAGTAGTTGATATTGCTGTCAACTAATTTACTCAAGCTGAAAGTCCTCCTTTTTTTTTCTATCATTCATTTTTTGTCCCAATTTGGAAGCACGTTTTTACCGTAACAATTTGCTTGTGAATTGTGATTTAACATTTTAGATGAGAAATTTCCATACGTTTTATGACATGACAAACATTATTATTGCTTAATACAATATCTAGAAGGCATTGCAGTGACAATCCCTGAGGTTTTGGCCAATTATAGAAAACCCATCTATCGTTCTACTTGTTAACTAATGACATTATGAAATCATGCACAGATGATTAATTACTACACATTAGAAGGATCACTCGGCAAAAGGCATGCAGCCTTTCCTAAGAAACTGGACAAGGCCACATAACACACACAATCATTACACATAAACTGCAAACCAAAACGACAGCAAACAAACCACACACACAATCACAAAGCCTGCATGCTAAAAATGTCTTAGCAATGATAATGAATCTGTTATCATGATCACTAGTTATCAGCCATCAGCTAGCTAGCGTAAGTATTAAACGGCATCGTGAGCTGGTGGAGCAGACCCGTAATGGGCACCGCAATCCTCGGCCCATATGCAAACCCATTAAGCTCGGCATCATCTTCACTGTTGACAAAGAGGCACGGTGGGACCCACGTCCAGCTCTTGTCCCCAAAGTCGAACATGATGGCCGCCTTTGAGCCCTTTACCATGACCAGCACGAAATCCCCTCCGGCCACGCACCCGAACCCCCTCCCTCCCTCCATCTCCGCAAACTGCCCGTAAAGCTGCTGTGGCATCCTCTCGATCTCGGCCCACGCGGTCCCGCAGTCCTGCAGGGCCCACAGCCTCAGACTCCTGGGCACGTTGAGCTTGCTCTTCTCCACGGCCGCCACTAAAAGGAGCCTCCCCCGGCACTCGACCAGCCCCGGCGACCTGAGGAACCTGCGCATGGGCGCCTGAATCTTCCCCCAGCGGTTCCCCGCGGCCTCGTAGGAGAGCACGCTGTAGGGGCTGTAGTTCATGCAGTAGAATCGTCCCCCACCCACGTCAACCATCCGCCCAGACTCCAGGCTGCAAAGCCTCGGGAGAGCCGCCGTCGTGCCCCATATCGAGTAGAACCCCCCCGAATCCACGTGGAAGCTCTCCGAGGTCAGGTTCTTCACCGCGTACGGCGAGATGAGGTCGTCTCCGGCGAGAATCAAGTCGATGGAGGAGTCTGTCACGGCCATCCCCACCGAAGGGCAGAGCCTCGCTTTAAGAGTGGACGGAAGTTGGATTAAGTTCCCGACGACGAGCGGGTTTCCGAGGAGGACGGTTTTCGAGCCGCCGTCGTCTGAGACCCAGCAGACGAGCCCGCCGGAGGACGAGGCCGGAGAGAATCCCGGCGGGACTCCGGGGATCGGGAGGCGGTACCATTTCAGATTCTCCGGGTCGAGAAGGTAGCCCACGTGGGCCCGACTCGGGTGGTTTTTGTTCTTGTAGATGTTGTTGAGGGTGTTTTGGTGGTTGAAGAAGAGGAACCAGTGGCGGCGGGGGGAGGCGTGGAGGTAGAGCTCCAGGAAGGTGGGGGAGAAGATGAGAGAGTACCAGCGTTTGCAGACGGCTCGCGAGCGGAAGAAGGCCGGTGGAGGGAGAGAGGCCAGGATTCGGTCCAGGAGCCGTTGGGGGAGGCGGCTCCATATGCGAGGGTCCATCCATGGACTTGCCAAGTTTCCGGTGTTATTATGAGGGATGGAAGTGAAAGAGTAGGAAATGTTGGGGATGCTTATAGGGGTGTAAAAAGGCTCCATTTCTGGTGTTTACTTTTCTTTTTCAGTGCAATTTGGGAAAAAAGGTATGGGTATAACTGCAACTGTTTTCTGTAATAAGGCAGCAAGAAATTAGTGTCTGTGTGAGATGTAATAACTCAAAGTTCTAAATTTCAGACTAGTGTGCTTTGGAGATAATTGATTATGAAATTAGCTAGCTTTTGTTGGCATANTTCAGTCTGAAAGGCTCTTTGATTATTATTTTTTGTAACAGACACAGTCACACACATATGGCTGTGAAAAATAATAATAATAATAATAATAAAAGGCACTGAAAGAAAGTCATTTTTCTGGGTGATGGATCCATCTATCGTTTCAGTGTTTTCTTGTCAATGCCGAGGAAGGAAGGAGGAACAGTCAGCACTCTGAGTAGGCCAATCTGACATGAAAGATTTGCAGACAGCGTTTTATTGCCATTATCAATTGAAAGATTGATTTTCCTACACATACAGCCCTATAAATCAACCATAAAACAAAAGCATTACTCAAGTTTACTTAGCAGTTAATTTATTCATTATATGCATTAGTATCATGCTACACGTGGTAATAATGGTTCACATGAAATTCGATCACATAACATGCAAAAAAAACATATTGTTTTACATATCACATCAATTTTAACATTAATCATTCCTACTCTTACCCATCATTTATGTAATTCATTATGTTAATAAATTATGTTAGAGTAGCTTTATTCATGCATTAATGATATAGAAATGTTATTCATGCATTATGTTAGAGTAGCTTAATTCATGCATCGCAAACAGATCTACCTACATAGTATTATATTGAACTTTTTGTGTTTTTCCATCATAAGTGCACTGATTAATTTGTTGCTGCTGTGGAGTGCACAAACACAAATGAAAATGCATGACATTTGGTGTGGGTCTAAAACAAGTTTTTTTTCATTTCATTAATAGCGTGTTTTCTCTTTTGAGCGAGCAATAATATTCTCTTTTTGCAGCTCATTTGGCTCTTTTCTCCTTTAAGTTGAAACGGGTTAACTAAAATCTTAGTCAGACTTATTTGTCCTTTTCACCCTCCGTCTTGTTTGTGTCAATCGCTTAATTAATTGTGATTGCCACCAAATTTTTCACCCCCAAACCTTAAAATAGAAAAAGTTGAGTTGTCCTGATTTAGAAAGTCGTGCTTTCCCTCAAGAAATCTCCCCAAAAAGGAAAAAGCGTTTTTCACCACAAGTGGAAATTAATGTACTCCTGGAAGAAAAGCTTGTCAGCCAAGAAGTTGCCTAAACAGTAAAATTTATGACTCACAATTTGACAACTCAGTATCTATCTATTCCTTACTTCTTCTTGTCAACAGTGCAAACTGTACTTTTTTAGTGTAGAAACTGTTCATGCATTTAATACTACGTTTGACTTGTTTATCTTCAGATTTTGGAGAAATAGCTGCTCTGTATACTGGCTTTTTAATGCGGTTAATTGTCCCTTGGGTTAGGTGATTGGCCTCATTTGTTCTTTGGATTTAGCAGTTTTGTACGTGGTTAACTTGTATTCAAATTATTGGTTATGGTAATAATGATGATAATATCTTGAAGTTAACCAATGGGTTTGCTACTTTGCTTACATGTTGTGTGATTACTTATCTTTAACCAACAGTTTTCAAGATCTGCAGAACATCAGAGTTTAAAAATCTGGGCACAAAAAAACCCACTCCGCCCATAATGACAAGAGTAAAATGTACCGTACGATTGTAATTTATTTTTATAACACAAGAATGAAAACTATAATGGCTGTTTCAAAGTGTAAATACAAATAAAGCCTGTTTCAAAGTGTAAATACAAATAAAACCACCTTTGTATTTCCACTAGCTCATTTTAGATTGTAACTAATGACCAAACTCGAGTCGCGACTCAAATATGTTATCGATTCGATCTCGAGCTTAAATTTTCAAAGGACGAGCGGCTCGAAATATGCAATAAATTACTTAAATACCCTTTCTATATATATAATTCACAAAATTGTCATAGGTGCATAATTTATAGTTGTTAAAATTCAAGCCGAACTCGATTCAAGAACCAATCTCGAGCATTTCCATTTGTTTCACGAGTCGAGCTCGAGTGTTATTTTCATGGCTCGTCAAGAGCTCAAGCAGTGAAAAAAAAATCGATCTATGCTCGACAAGGTCTATGCTCGATTTGGCTCGACTCGTTTGCAGCCCTAGTCTATACCACATACCATTCTTTTGACATGGCATTGCAAGTAAGCAATCAACAAAATATTGGAGATGCTCCAAGACTGAAAAGTGTTGATCACAATTGACTGTTCACTTGTAAGAAAAGCACATCCAAGCAAGTCTAGACAAAATTACATTTCATATGCCAAATGATGTTTGCACAAAGGAGAAACAATCCGATAATCGTGATTCAGCTCATACCACAATCGTGCTCACAAAACCATCAAAATCCACTGAATTAACCATAAAAATTAAAAAACTAAATCAAG